TTTTTTTTTTTTCTTTTTATTTTTTCTTTTTATTTTATTTTGTTTTTATTATTTATCGAATATTGTGTTTTTTTTAAGTTTTTTTTTTCGTTTTATTTTCTTGTTTTTTTTTTTTAAATAAACTACTGTTTTTTTTTCAGGGGTTTGCTTTGCTGGTCTGGAAGCTGGTACAAAGATAAGTATGTATATACGTACTATATTTTTTTGTGTACTTTCTTTTACTAATGGTTTTCTTCCTTTTTTTTTTTAGATTCTTACTTTGCCAGAAAAAATTATCAAAATCGAGCTTGAGATCTTGAAATCTTGGAGATCTTGAATCCCGGAGGCTGGTATAATGATAAATACTATTTTTTATTTTATTTTTTTCGTTTTGTCTTTTGTTTTTTTGCTAATGGTTTTATTCTTTTCAGAGTTTTGCTTTGCCGAGGAAGGTAATTGAAATTGGGCTTGAGGTCTCGAAACTGGGCTTGGGATCTTGAAATCAGGCTTGAGGTACTAATTTTTTTTTTTGTGTTTTCTTGTTTTGCCTTTTGTTTTTGCTAATGGTTTTATTCTTTTCAGGTTTTGCTTCACCAAGATGTTAATTGAAATCGGGCTTAGGTTTTAAAGATCTTGGAATCAGGCTTGAGATCTTGAAGCCGGGGCTGGTATAATGATAAGTACTTTTTTGGGGGGTTTTCTTGTTTTGTCTTTTGTTTTTACTAATGGTTCTCTTCTTTTTAGATTTTCGCTTCGCCAGGAAAGGTTTTGAAATCTTGGAATCAGACTTGAGATCCTGGAACCAGGACTAGTACAAGATAAGTAGCAGTTTTTTTTTTTTTTTCGTTTTTTATTAATGTTTTTCTTCTTTTTCCTTCTTTTTCAAGATTTTACTTTGCAGGGAAGGTGTATTGGCCGAGAATTGTGTATTAAAACCAGGCTTGAGATCTTGGAATCGGGTTGAGATTCTATAATCAGGAATAAGTACAATGATAAGTACTAGTCTTTTTTTTTTTTGTTGTTTTTTTTTTTTTCGCTTTTTACTAAAGTTTTTCTTCTATTCAGGTTTTTGCTTTGCCGGGAAGGTGTAGTAGAACCGAACTTGAGATCTTGGAATCAGCTTAAGATTTTGGAACCAGAAACTGGTACAAGATAAGTATCGGTTTTTTTTTTTGTTTTCTTCTTTTTTTCTTCCTTTTTTTTTCTTTTTTGTTAATGTTTTCTTTTTTTAGGGTTGTCTTTGCCGTATTGAAATCAGGCTTGAGATCTTGGAATCAGGTTGAGATTCTATAACCGGGAATAAGTATAATGATAAGTACTAGTCTTTTTTTTTTTTGTTTTTGTTTTTTTTTTGCTTTTTACTAAAGTTTTTCTTCTTTTTAGGCTTTTGCTTTGCCGGGAAGGTGTAGTGGAACTGAACTTGAGATCTTAGAATTAGCTCAGGATTTTGGTGCTGGAAATTGGTACAAAGATAAGTACCAGTTTTTTTTCTGTTTTCTTTTTTTTTTTAATTATTTTACTATTGTTTTCTTCTTTTTTAGGGTTTTTTTACCAGGAATGGTGTATTGAAACCGGGCTTGAATTTGAATATGGAAATAAGTTGAATATAGTGCCAGTTTTAGTTTTAGTAGTTATAAATTGAAGTCTATACTCTGACATAATGCCTTCGCTATAGAAAATATTCAGTTATTAGAGTACGAATTTATATGTTCTGACATAGTTATGATGCAAAAACTTTTCGTTATTACAAAATATTCACTATACAAAAATTCGCTATCTTGAGTTGACTGTAATTTAATAACTATGTAATAATAATGTAATATGTAGTAATAAATATATAATAAAGTAAATGTATTTTTTAAAATAAATATATACGTATATTATATATTATTTTAGCTATATCGATATTATAGTTTTGTATATTTTTAAAATAATCTGAAATATTTCGAAATAATGCAAAATAATGCGAAATATTGCGAAAAATATTGCAATAAATTGTATTAGATACAATAATATAAATGTTTGAAATATTTCGAAATATTTCGAAATATTTTAAACATTTATATTATTGTATCTTGCACAATTTATTGCAATATTTTCGCAATATTTCGCATTATTTTTCAAAAATTTTCGAAATTAGTTTTTTCAAAATATTTCGCGTTGATCGCAATAATTTCGAAATATTTTGGCATCGCAAATTCTTTTACAAATTTTTGTTTATATTTTTTGCTGATGTTTATAACAATTATACTATCGATTTCATTGGTGTAGATCAATGATCCAGAAGTCACATAATAGTAAAATCGATCTTATACTCTGGCATTGTTCTGGGACTCCCTTGATAAGAGCACTATATAATTCTATAATCTAATAAAAGCAAAAGGCCAAAAAGGATAACTTTGACTATAAAAAAAAAAAAATCAAAAAAATTAATACAGATTTGACTAAAAAAATATTATAGAATTATACTAAGGACGACACTATACAGTGCACTCTGCACTTTGTATACCTTCTTATAAAATTTCTATAAAATGGCTAATTTCTTAAAATTTTGACTAAGTAACCCCTATCATATAACATAAGCAAAAATATTCCTCTTGCAATTTTATTTTATCCTAACCTTAAACCTAACTTTAATTCTAACTTTAACCTAACTTAATATCTATTACCGGCTCAATTTTGCTATAGAGTGCACAAAGTGCATAGTGCACTATTTAGATTTTTTCTTATACTAATTAAATTATTAATTGATTAATTGTTTAAAATTTTTTTAAATCAACTAGTTGGAAAGTTGATAACTAATTAGTTGTTTAGCTAACAATTTGTAATACTAACACTGATTACCTCTAATTGAGGATTAATATACATAATGTTTGTATAACAGAACCTTTTATGACCCATTATACATAATGCTACTACTTCATGATTAAACCTTTTTTCAGAAATTTTCTTTTTCAATTTTGTACTTGCATTTAGATTTAACTACAAGGTTCTGCATTCAATTATAGCCTCTACTGGGTTATAAAAACAAAATTTCTAAGATTTTTGCCTCCAGCCTGACTCAAACCATCAACCTAATCTGTGAGAGTTTGGCAGCTTAACTGCTAAGCTATAAAGCCCAAACCCTAAATTAATTTTTTTTAATTTTACAGAATTATAAAATTAAATAAAAAAAAGATAATTGATTTTGCTTAGGTGTTTGTCGAGATATCTTCATTCAAGTTTGGTAAAAACTAAAATGCCTATTAAATAAAAGTAAGAAAATATTAGAAACTGACCCTATAGCTACTCAAGAAAATTTGATAGACTTTTTTTCAAGATATTTTTGTTCAATGTTTTTAAAAAAAAATTTTCTGCTTCTATTTAATAGGCATTTTAGTTTTTACCAAACTTTGAATGAAGATATCTTGACAATCACTTAAGCAACATAGATCATCTTTTTTTTTATTTTAACTCTACAAGTAGATAGAATTTAAAAAAACTTACGTTCATCGAATTTGCTTTGGCTGTCGAGATATTATCTCTACTTAATAGACATTTTACCAAACTTTGAACGAAGGTATCTCGACAACCTCAAAGCAAATTCAATGAACTTTTTGTTATTTTAATTCTACAAGTCTTTAAATTCAAAATAAAAAAATCCATCGAATTTAATTTGATGGTTGTCAAGGTATCTTCGTTCAAAGTTTTAAAGAAGATTGATGTATCCGTGTCGATCATTTGCTGTGCCGATAACGTGGATTAATCACGTGCATGCTGTGTCGTTATATTTCCCCTAGAAAAAACCTTTATCTCAAAAATTCATGCATTAACAAAAAGTTACTATCGCTACGTATACCACCATTAATATCCAACTTTAGTTCAGACGCTAACCCTAACATAAACATTTTTATCTATTATCACGTGATCGGAAAATTTGTGTCCGGAAAATTTCCCATAATTTTTTTTTAATTCGCTTTGGACTTACAACAGCACCTGTTTTCCTAGTAATAACAAGATGTCGACGGAAATAAAGCAGTCGTACGCGGTAAATTATACTATTTATACGCGATTTCTATGTGACCCTTTAGAAATAATGTTTATTTTTTCCTTTATTGAATAGCATTATATGGAACAATCAGACAACTTATTCGATCAAGATTCTGAATTAATTATTAAAGATTATCACCGTAAAATTCAAGAAGAAGAAGTTGGATTTACGCGAGATCTTAATGAATTAATAAAGAGTCATGAAGAAAAGGTATAATCATGCTACATTATCCACTATATTTTTTATTAAGACGCGTTTATTATAACAAAAAAAATATTTTTTAAAGATAAAAGATCTGATTCGTGAACGAAATTGGAAATTATCGAATTTATATAAACAGACTTCAATAATTAATTCTAAGCAAGTGGAGTTATCTTTTAAAATTGAAAATGATGAGACACCAGAGAACAAAAAAACATCTGCAGATGAAAATGATAAATCACCAGAGACCAAAACAGAAATATCCCTTATAGATTTAGAAAAAAGTTTAGAAGTCATGTGTATTAATAAGATTAATAAGACACCTATTTCTGTTCAATCTATATCTCCACTTTCAATTTCGTATGACGATCTTGATCCTGATGCTTATGATTGCGACGGAATATTGACGTATTCTCCATCAGTTGGTACCAAAACAGTTTCGAATGTTCTAACGGATTTCGCGATAATTGATGATGACGCCACATCAATTTCTCAGACAGACCCTACGATATACAACGTCCTTCCACCACGAATAGAACAAATTAGTAACGATAAAAAAATGCCAAATTATCAACGAATGTCAATTCCTGAATTGAAGGTATGTAAATTTATCGCCGTTTTCGAAATGGATGAAAATGACAATTTTTGGCGAACACATGAACACATATGAACACATAAACACTTGATTACCTTGATTACCTTAACACATTGATTGCCCGATTTACGTGATTGTTCAGTGAACAATTATATATGCTCATATGTGTTCATGTGTTCTCCAAAAAACAAAATTATTTGTCAGTTTCATCCATTTCGAAAACAGCGATAATATGCTTAGCTTCGAATTTTTAATGTTAATATATATATATTACTCAGGTGGAAGTGGCAAAATATGGTATCAGACCTTCTGGAAAAGAAACAATGATTCGTCAATTAGAGATTATATGGAACAAGATACATGAAAATGACGAAGATGACGAATAAAGTTGCGGTTCAAATCCTTTTTTTGTTTTTGTTTTTTGAATTGACATTACCACGTGATTTGAGTTTGGGAATTGGAACTTCTACTTAATTTGGATTCATAGTTAAAACCCAAATATACATCCGTTTTTTTTTTTCGATCGATAGTGTCAAACTCAAAAACCAATCAAATTTGTTAAATTAATATTAATAAATGCAGCACATGTCATTTAACATCAAACTAACCGTGAACGGATTTTATAAATGGGTCAGAATTAAGGTTGACATATGGGTATTACATATTAAAACATCACATTTTTGCATGTAAATCATTCAATCATTCTGAGTAAATCGGGTTTAAATGATGATTTGCACTGACAAATTTTTTAAGATTTTTGTTAAATTTAGCAGGTTGATATCGCATGTTAAAATTAAAATTATTATTGGTTAGGGTTAGGGTTCGAGCTAGTATTTGGATTAGAGTTAGAAGGCATATATATACAAAATTAAGTGTTGAAAACTTTTAATTAGAAGCCCAAGAGATATTTAAAATTTCTTAATTTTCGTTACACAAGATCCTGTGATCTAATTGGTCGATCATATTAACCAGCGATAGATATTTAACAATATTCTTTTTTAAAATTGATTTTTTAGATTATGTTTCATTTAAAACACAAAGGTATATTAATAAAATTTTGCGTAAGGGAGGGTCGGGTAT